CTCCGCCCCCGCCTCGGGCCCTTGCGTGCGCGCGCGCCAGCCCGCACTGTGGCACTACGCTACGCTGAATATGCAAGAGGTTCGCGACTTGTCTCACTCGCATTAATCGCGTATGTTTCCCGCGCACTCCACAAGATGCCGTTTCCTTAATGCCTCCCAAATAAGGATGCGGACGTTTGGAAATCGCTTTGGAGTAAATAATAATGATGGTACTGTGAATTGTGATACGAAAAATGAGAGCACTAATTTAAAGTCCTTGTAAATGTTGCATTGTTTCGCACATAGTATAACGTGTTGAAGGAATACTGCCATTTAGTCAAGTCCAAAGTTCTAACACTATTTACATTTTTTCCCAATACAACTACCTCCAAGTACTGAAGACGTTTAGGAAAAGAAATCGCCCTATGTTTCACTCACAATCCTCCTGCACAGAGAAGCGATGTTTTAAAATGGTCGATACAGAAATCAGGATTTAAACAAAAAGCATTTTTGTCAATTCACGGGCAAAATTCCTTTCGATATTTGGCTGCGCATCGAAAAATAAATGTTGGAAATCTTTTACGTGCAATGAATTCTCAGTGACTTTTCTGGTTCCGTAGTCCATTTTATATAAATTATTCTTGAAAACAGAATTCTCGGTTCGATCCATCCACTCCATAACAGCTTTGAAACAACGATCCAAGCGTGCGCATAACTCCGAACCTTGCCATTACAGCCTTTATTAATTGAAAAGCACAGTAATCATCTAAATAAGTGGATTCACTTTATCTTTCGCAAATAAACAAACTACGACAATGTAAGGGACACTATTACCATCAAACACTTTTCCAAATGACCACGCTTGTTCCCAAATGGTGTTAACGTGTATCGTAAGATTCACCTTTATTAATTCGGTACAATTAATATGACATTTTGTTCCGTGATACAAATTAATTCGATTTTCTGCGATTAACGTTTCTACAGGGTTAACATCGTTAAACGTGGAAGAGTCTAGTAAAGAGAGCGCAAAATGAACGAGCGTAGTACGGGTAAATCCGTCACAAGTCCTCCTCCATCCTACGAGCTCCGTCCGCCGTCCAAGTCAAGCAGCGAGGCGCCGCTCGGCGCTGCACGTGGAGGGGATGGGAGGCGCAATGCGGAGAGAGAGAGACCCGCACTCCAGCTCACGCACGCTCGCACGCAGCCACGCTCGCACGCGCAATGAACAGGGCGGCATCCACCCGGAACGGAACGGCAATAAAAGCAGCAGCAGCAGCAGCGGCGGCGGGGAGAGCGGGCGCACGGGGTGGGCAGACGCCAATCCCACGAAACAGAGCTCGTGTCCGCACTCGGCGCCCGATACCCTAAGCTCCGGAAACATTACCGTGTGCCACTAAGGGGACGTGAGATTATGTCAAAATTAAAAAAAAGCTAATTATCATTCGCGAATACATGACACGCATCGGAAATTTGGCAACAAGTTTACTCTGCCTATGCTCTCGCTGTCACTAATCACAGCACTGGAATTCATTGTAACGTTTGATATCGTGAAGGATATTTCAAAAGCACATGTTTTCCCAAACACAAATCCAGGCGAAGTTGAACAAAATAAACATAGAACCTTTCAGCATGGAGAGAATGAAATGTGAGTAATGCATAAATGAACTTCGCCGAGTGATCACTGTACATCACTTCGAAATATATAAGCTCAGAAGTTCCTCGCATGACAGTCCACTAGCATGTCAAAGATATTCAGATTAACATGACGAACTTTCCTATTCTCATGAACATTGACAAGAAGCACGCACACTAATGACCCAGAGTGATGCAAGGTCTCTAATCATTATTTTCAAATGTTGATGGCAGCGAATATCATTAGTAAAACAATAACGTATTTTCTCAGATACGGTTGGTAGGACATTGGAGTACAAGTCAACAGGCGTTTTTCATCATCAGATAACAAAAGATAACATTGTAGAATACAAGTAGTCTGCTTAAAAACTGAAAACAGACTCATTTTGTAACACTGAGGATGAATTGGAAAGTTGGTATTGATAAAAATGCATATTATTACATTTCGGTGAATTGTTAAGTAATTCTATAAAGTTAGGTAAAGCACCAAAAAGTCAGTACATATAGCGTCATCTCAATGGAGTCGTGCTAAGACAATGGTGTACTTTCACAATGTTAGATGTGAAAACATGGAATATAGATAGTAAAATATGCTACTTTTAAAAGAAAGGTCGATAACTTTGTTTGACAAAGCTTCCTAGCACAGCAAATCATAACTATTTAGACAAAATAAATATAGGAATATGTTACACAGTACTAGTATACTACACACGTGTATAAATTATATTTACATGCTAGTCATCTCTTTATCACTACTTCCACTATTCATTTATCATGTTACATTGTATTTTTCTCTTTGCTGACACTGTGTAAAAGTTGATCTAAAATGGTACATAAAAATTTCGAAGAGATATCACATTATACTGTTTGGTCCACTAAACATCGACCACTCGCATGATGAAATCTTATCACTTATTGACAACAATTCCGGTTCGATTCATCGCTATTCATGCGAATTACCTATGTAAAAATGAGCTATAGAGGAACAATTCAATTAAAGAAAAGTGTACGTGTGCGTTTTTGCATTTTTAATTTTTTTAAATTTATTTATTTATTAGATTTAAGAGACAAATTATTATTTGTTTATCTGAATATATAGTGTCTCAGAATAAACGTTGCGAACTTCTACAGCATTTTAGGGAGGTCGAAAATATTTTTTCCCCAGTGAACAGTCGTGAGGAATGGAATATAACTGGGTTGAATGCGTACATCTGTCCCTGATATTCAGTTATCTTCTATGCACAGACGTTCGGTCGGTCACATTCTGACACAGTAAAGGGGATTTCCTGTTCCAGGCGACTCTTTGCATACGGGCTTATCAATAAATTAGAGGTTTTGACAGTGTTCGCAGCATATAGATGCATTTATTATTTATTAAACTTTCATGTGTTCAGTAGTTTTGCCATGCTCGAAATTTATTAAATCAGAAAAGGTGGCAAGAAAATGAATACTTTAAACGCGTTACTACATTCTACAACTTAAAATTGCAGCTAGTAACAGAAAAATTGCATTTGCAGAATGTACACTTGATATATGTATACACAGGTACTACAGCGTACGCAATTATGTGTCTATTAGGGGATGCGACATCGATGTCCATGCTCAGGCTTTAAACGCCGACTGATTAAATCTGTTATTTTTTAATGTTTTGCACTCAATGTTTTTAGCTTATCGAAGTTATGTTTGCGAATGAAAAAGTTACGTAACCGCACTTTTGCAAAAATTAGCATTGGAAATAATGAATTATTATAAGTGCCCGTTGTCGTGTTCGAGCCAAGTACACGTTGCTTACGCTACGCCCATGGAACATAATCTCTCCCTTGGTATTTCCTATCCCTTTCCTCGAATTCTTCACGCAACGGGGCGGTGAATGCACGGGCAGGTGGCACAGGGACTCCCCCTTCTTCCCGCATCCGCCTGCTACGGCGAACTGAGGAAGGAAGCTCTGGCCCTGAACGCTCACACTTTCAGGCTCATGGTGGATGTACTTCGATTTACTTAGAGCTGCACTTGGCAGGTCGTCAGCTGCCACGGTGTCATCCAATCGGGAGCTTACACGTCATGTTGACGTTCAACCTCCCGATTGGATACCGCGACAGCTGATTTACGTCAAATGCAGTTCTGTTTAAATCGAAGTTTAAGTGCTTGTTATTATTTTTTAGTTCGTTATGACAGTTCACTATTAATTCTAAATCAATAAACCCGCCCAGCGCCGAACGCACATGTTCGATGTCGCATCCCTCTCCTTAGCGCGAGTGGGCGCTCTGTGTAAACGAGTCCCCGCGCCGGGAAGGAGCGCGGGGGCCGGGCGCTGAGGTACTCACAGTCGCGACGACGGCTCCGTGGTGGACTCGTCGCCCTCGATGCGGTAGATCTTGCCGTACATCACGTACTCGAAGGAGTCGGCGCGCGAGCTCTCCGTGTCGTTGGGGTTCCACTCGCCCGAGTCCGGGTAGCCGTCCTCGCGCAGCGTCGTCGCCAGCACCAACCGGAACTTGTCACCTGCGCACACGGCCGGCGGTCACGCAAGGGCCCCACGCTGCTTCCGGCTCTCGAGAGAGCACGCCACAACAACGGGCAGACAACAACAATAACAATACATGCAAACAGTAACTTAATCTTAAACACAAAGATACTAAAATATGCAAGGCGGTGACAAACTCTCAATGTTACAAAACCAGCAACTGCCAAGTTCTCCGAGTTTTCTATGAATTCCTGATTCCATACAACACTTCAACACCATCATTGGCGAAGGATGACGAGGCATCCACTGTCGAACTATTAAAGATAAAGGCGAATTATCAATTCACTCTCAGTTGTCATTCAATTCCATTTCAACTCATTACCGATGAATATTAACCATGAAGAACGAGATGAGAATCTGAATAAGTTTCGTCACCATCATCGTGTTTCAACATAAACTAATGACAGTTACTAACAGGAAAATACATAGTATTTGAACTACTCATATTAAGAATATCCGATGCCTGACTAGACTACCTGAGGATATTCTTGAAAATGGCCCCCGTTTTTTTCTTTAGATATTTTGATAGAATAGAAGAATGCATATATATGGCCGAGGTCTAATTTTACATGAAATACTGAATTTTCGAAAGTTGCAGAAGTTTTATTTTTTAGATCTTCCATTACAACTTTGAAGCTACACAATTTTTAATTAAAAATATTCTTGAAGTTAGATCTTTAAATGAAGTAATGTAAATGAAATGAAGTAAATGAAGTCATTTTGGGATAATATTGAGCCAAATTCCATAAAAAAAATTCAAAAGAGAATACTAACGTGTTTTTAAAAATGTTGGTCGGATAGAGCCAAGTGCACTTATTTGCAAATATAAGTATAGAATTAACTTTCATCAAAACCTCTAAAATTCAAAAAAATTGCACATATTCGAACTCTGCAAATTCGAATCTCCTGTTCACTGTTAGCCAAACAGAGTTCGCCAAGAGATGTCTGAAGAATTAACAGAATTTAGGTTGCAATATTTTAATACTATGTAACCGAGACAAGAACGAAAGAGTGGAAAGAACGCGATTAGGAGAATATTTGCAGAATATTCTCTTATACTCCTATGTCCTTTCATTATGAGTTAACTGAGGGGTTTAGAGGCCTTCAATCATAAGGGCATTATGGTCCATGGGCGACGATTGTATGAGTACACGATAGCGAACGATGGAGAGCTGGCGGAATGAGAGACAAGGGTCACGACAGAACTCAGAAATAACCTGCCAAGAGCTCGTTTAGTCCTCCACAAATTTCTGGCATTTGTACCGTATGGATTGGCTAGACACGGAACCCGGGACACTCAGGTGGAAGCTGTATGTGCTATTACTTCATGAGCCCCTCCAATTTTATGAGGTTTCAGAGTGTCAATAATATTTTAAACATTTTGAGTTTTGGTTAAGAAAATCTGCATTTACATTCACAAATTCGGAGAGGGTTGACGGTGAAAATAACATATTGAAACACTTCATACACTTATTTCAAGTCTAGTAAGAAGCAGACAAAAAATGTGCATGCAAACTTTACTACTTTTCCGCTCTGATTGCACGTTTCTGATTGTGATTAATGCAGCACATCAGCCGCACGACTATAAATGGCATACTCATGACTATTCAGAACACGCAGCGTTCTTCCACGATTTCCGTAGACTTTTGACAAGCCTGCGAATTAAAATTCAAACTTGAAACTTGCATTGCTCGTATATGCATTTGTACAAGGTGTTTCTGCTGGCAATGAGCACTTTCGAAGCGTTATCGTGTCCATCGCAGGCGGGAGGGCCGAGGAGCGCAGGTGCGAGCGAATCCCGGCAGCGCGCGGCCGCACGTGCACGCGCAAGTGCGCGGTTACGCAACGCGCGCGGCGGCGGAGCGACGCGACGCGGCGCGGCGCGGCGCGGCGCGGGCCCTCCTCCTGGCCGCCGCTCACGTGCCCGGCGCGAATGGTCAATGCGATGCTATCGACCGAAAACAACCTCTCGATCCAGCGCCGCAGCCATTGTTTGCGAGGAGCTGCTTCCATATTTATCTAATAAACACGCACGACCCTTCTGATGAGCGGATTGAAAGCTGACGCTCAACTATTCGCAGATTTATTTTCCGCACTTACAATGAAAATGGCGGTTGCGGCGTTGTAATTCGCCATTTAAATTTGCAATTAAAGTGCCGCATAGCACTTACAGAAGTGATGTAAAAAGAAATCATTTCAATGTTATCTTGTATTAGGCACTAATCGAAATTTCTCGCTCATTGAATTTTATAGAGAATGAATTGAGAAGTATATAAATCGACTACAATAGCAACTCTAAAAATTATTACAATTGGAAATCATTAATTTTTCCTTATTATAATAATGTAAAGAAAATTAATGTTTCTTCGCTTCGATGGCAACTTCTACCGTCTTCTACTGTGACCATAAAGATTTGTCTTTCTTGTGATCACAGTACTTTTTCCAAACATGATATTATACTCATACTTTTTTCATTTATTTAATTAGCGTCCCGAGCGAAAGGGCAATTTTTACGTTTTAAGAGTATACTTACAGCTCCTTCCGATGTATAAAAAGTTATTCGACATGATTAAAACGACACGACGTTGGCTTTTCCTCGTTACGAAAGCCTTTGAAGACGGGAATACCCCGAGAAACTCACTCATGTACACGTGTAACCTTTGAGTACTTTGGTTGCGTAGGCTTTGAGTACTTTCACGTAGTGCTTTCAATCATAATTCCGTAACTGTCACTATTTCGAACGAGGAAAATTCATCTGTAATTTTCTGTTCCATTTATTTTCACAAGCACCAAATTAAAATACAAAGAGATAAAACGAGTTTGACAGATGGATTCGATTATGAAATGTTTTCTGATGTACAAGCATGAAATAAGGAAGTGCAAGGGCAAAATGTTCAAGAAAAATAGCCGTATTATTACAATTTTAAATAAAACATGAGAGTAACGTAGAGTTTTACCAGTGGCATATTATTATATATCACATTAACATTGTTCATAAAAAGAAAATATGAAATATTGAATTTAAGGGTCTCATAACATATTCCTTAATGCATTAATTTTGGAAACACTCCTGCAGTAATCAGCACTTGTCATACAAGGAAATTCTTTGGTAGCTTCCCGGACATTTTTATTAGCTGCCATCGCGAGGCAAGAGCCTACGAGCAAATTGAACGAAATATCAGCAAGTGCTCTCAACCACATTAGTAACGAATAAATCGAACCCGTCTTCTTTTCCTCATCACACAACTACGCCATCCACACCATCACAACTGAGAAATCGCTTCGAAAGCAGGTACTAAAGAAATCGTGGTCTACCTTCTACGTGGCGTTCTCCACCTGCGCCGGAGTCCGACGGCAGCGGCGGCGACGACGACGTCGGGTCCACACGGCGGGAAACGTCCAATCCACTCAATTTCCACTACACTCGTGTCCACTTGGCGGCGCGCACTCGCGGGCGCTCGGCCGCTGCGCCGGCAGGTTGGCAGCGGAGCCATCGCGAATCCTGTTACGGCGAAGCGCGACGCGGGAATAAGCCCAGCTGGCCTGCCGCCTTCGCCGCCGCCCGCGGGCGGCCTTGCGCCACGTCATTGCCCGTGACGTGACGCGGCGCGGCGCAGCGAGGCGGGCCGCGGGCGGGGGCGCGGGCGGGCGATGGAGGCGAGCGCGCCGCACGTAACGAGATAACCGCGCTGCTGTTGTTGCAGCTTCTCGGGAAGTGACTGGTCGCCCCCTTCCCCGACGCCGCCCCCGCATCGTCCGACCGACCGACCGGCTGGCCGGCATGTAGGCCTACCCGTAGCTCGCCGCCGCTCGAGGCGCGCGTTATGTAAGCAGGTGCTGTCGTCGGCGCCGGAACTCGAGCTTCGGAGAAATCGATGGTGGAAAAATTATCGCGAGCGACCTTCGGACTCCTCTTAAGCAAAACGCGGCGGCGCGGCGCGGCGGCGACCGCTTCTTCGTCAGTGGAGATTCCGGGGAGCGGAGAGAAGCGCTATTCATCAAGTGGCCGGCGAGGAGGAGGGGTCGTTGAGCGTATCTGTAGGAGATGGTGAGGGAGTCTATTGTGGTCGTGGGGAAGAGCGATTCTAGGAGTCGTTGAGGTGGTGATGGCAGAAGGCGTGGCAGCGGCGCGCAGGACAAACTACATTATGTTTTCTTGGAACTGTAGCAGTAAGCGGATTTAAGTTCATGGGTCGCCGAATGGAGATCCATAAATATTATTTCAGGCAGGTGCTATTACACCGAAACACCGAAAGCTTCGTGGAAAAACTTCAACGCAATATTTTGATACATCAAATACGTTGTAATTACCACGACAAGAGATTCGTTGAGAAACAATATCAAAGGGATTCTCGGAAAGTAAGTATTTAAAAAAGGTGTAAATCGTACGTATTATTCATTATTCTTTAAGTAAAAGCTCTAATGCCTCAGAATTAATTAAAGCATCAACAATTGCAATAAATACGAAAAAAAACTCAAGCTTTCTAAACATCTAGTATCTCATATTTGATTTTCTGCGACGACTTTCAAACAAATACCACACTAATAACATGATTACGTCAAACTGTATAAACATGAATTTTGAAGTTCAATTCCTACATTTATTTCCAATTTTTATACGTAGTCTAATCGACGTAGGGTCCCTTTTCAGTCGCACGCATTGATGACTTTTTTCTTCCATGCTATCAAAAGTACGAACGGTAGCTAAAGAACGTGTTTTGACAGGGTGCGATAAGAGAAGGATCCCTCAGACGCCGTCCTGTCCTCCAGTTGGGGAACGTTCGATGCGCTCGTAATGGCGCCGCCGCTGCCGTACGGAAACTAACACTTGTGATATGTTTATAAACACAAAAGTGCCAACCTACCTCAACGTATGTTAAACAAGAAACATATTGGCTGTGTCACATCTTGCGCATGGACAGCTCGAGCTTGTCACCTTGGTTAGTGCCAAAACAAATAAAGAATGTTATGGTCTATTTACTGCCCTAATATGAAACGAATTAGTCGAGAAAGCTGCCTTCCTATAGTACTTCGAATCACATTCCACGAAACATGATGTCATGATTAAGATATCGATAATAAAAGAGGGAAAAGTTGGGAAATGCTTAACTCCCCACAATGTAAAGTAGTAATAAATTGCAGGACAGGGAAATAATTATTTATACTTTAGATTACGAACGTCCATGCACTTGGAAATACAAACTTCTTACGCTTCAAGTTGGAGTATGTTAGATTTCAAGTTTGTTTTTGGATTTTCAAGTTTTAAAATAGGAAACTGCGGGGGCAAACAGAGCATGGCAAGGGTCACTTTTTCTAGTCTTCATCGAGTGTCTACACCTGTTGAAGAAAGGGTTGAATAGCTTTTCACACCCTTTTCCGCAATGTTTGCATGAGTTGCAGTGCTTTATTATGTAAAATATATTTTTGGCACAGCTTACTATTTATTCACAATACAGACAAAAAAATTACATTTCCCTCCATCGTGAAACCCTCTTCTCCATGAATGCACTCTTTTAGCAATGCACTTCTTGATACGATATGCAATTGTAGCAAGCGTTCTTCACAGGAACAACAAACGTTCTGACCTGTCATATACCACACTTCGAAACCGATACAAAATTATTAACGAAGAAAACTTCGCCCATCTTGGGTAAATCGACTTCTAAAAGCGAAAGACGCCGGGAGTGCCAATCTTGAAGACAGTTGAGTTCTTGGTAAGGAACAGACACTAGCTCACTAATGATAGCGAATGAAGGATAGACAAGAGCACTTTCCTGTTCTTTGGAGTGCCCTTGTCTATTATAAACATTTTCATGTTTTAAAAGTTCATTTCACACTCTACATTTGTATTGTTAGCTTAATATAAACATAATGCTAGTAACTTAAATCTAAAAAGCACATTTTTTGGAGAAGAATCCTTTACGGGGAGATCTTCGTGCAATTCATTGTGCAGCAGTTAATTGGAAATAAACCATGGAGCATTTGTAATTGTACGGACGCGCCCCAAAGGGCTTCGGCGAAATAGATAAGGTTATTCGCACGGTGTCAAATTCACATACATTCTAAGCGGTGTCCCAGCGCGCCGCGTCACAAGCAAGGACACAGGTCGCAGAGCTTCTCGATTGAAGGAAGCCTTGGTACATTTCACAGGGTTGTTACAAGTTAGGTAAAAAATTCCCAAGAGTGATTGCTCAAAAACGTATTCTAAGATACAAAACAATAAGAAACAAAAAATATAAAAAGTGTGGAAAAATCAAAATAGAAACTCATAAGCTCTGAACGCTTGAATAGGCAATTATCTCTAATATAGGCATTTATAGGCACTATAAAACCCTCACAAAAGCCATTTCTTAGGTAAACATGGATAATGGAGCGAGTTGCCTGAAAATATAGTTAAAGAAATACAATAGCCAAATAGGGCATCATCCAAGCTCTAGTAATCACCACTCACCGTCTGAAAAGAGTTTATAAAAGCATTCTGGATTCAAGCCAATTGGATCACACGCCGAAGGAAAAAAGTGAAACTAGACTCTTGCAGCAGTAAAAATTATGCAGACGTGCTCAAGTGTGTGCAAAATGGAGTCCTAGGGCGTCAACATGGACTGTTTTGAAACGGCACACGGGACTACTTGTTTCTTGCTCGTCGTGATCCAATGAGTTTGAGAATTTAAGCGTAATTTGACGTGAGAGAAATAGCAGATTCATATAATCAAATATTTGCATTTTTCAGCAAAAATCGAATCTGTTTCGTTGTTTTTTCCGAGTGTCTGGGTATCTAACGAAACCATAGACCCCTCTCACATAGAGGGGGCACAGTTTTCCGTTCATTTCGGCGTGTAGTCTAAATTAGTAACATAAATTGAATGCTACAAAACACAAATGGCATCGGGCGTAAAAACTAAACAAAATTTGTCCTCAAAGCCAGCACCAAACTGCTCCACCATTTGTCTATTAAAAACATAGCTTTACAATATTAATAATCTCAGAAATACAATTAATTTCTAAGCAAGTAAATCGTCAATTGCGTGAAATTTGGTGTGAAGTTACTACGAAAATAATTAGTAAAGGAATTTTGCTACCACCTAATTAATTACAGTTTGTCCACAGGAACAAAATGAGAATATAATGTTGGAAGTAGCTTGCTTATAAAAGAAAATTCAGAATGTTACAGACTGAAAATAAGCGACTTAAAATAGAACACAATTTTGTTTCTACTGAAATTACTTAAAGGATTAGCCCGGGGATGCGAACGGCGAAGGTGAGATCGCTGTAGCTCCTCAGTTCAAAGGGTTGTGGTTTTAAGACTCACCGACGTGGAAGATAGGTGTGTGTGTGTGTGTGTGTGTGTGTGTGTGTGTGTGTGAGAGAGAGAGAGAGAGAGGGGGGGGAAGAGAGAGGGGGGTTAAAAACGAAAGTGGATAAAAATATTTTCTTGAATTTGAACGGATAAGTTCTTGATAACATATAATAATAATTATGGGCCGTCTGCCCCAATGGCCAAATCGAGGAGTATAAAATATTACTTACTCAATCGTTATTCGAAAAACAGAAGTTGCGAGACTTAATAAAACATGAAGACATTATTCATTACAAACAACTAACAAAACACGTACCAACCTTCGTTACCACCATTTTATGCAAATCAAGTACACCAACTGTAATTTCCGGTTTACATACGATACAAAATTAGGGGACTATCGCTTGAACATACTGAAGCGGAAACGTTCGCACTCCGAACTTTTCCTGCAGCACTATCGCCTTTATTTTCCGTTTTCCGTGTTAAGGTCCCTGCCATTTTTTCAGTATGAGGTAGTTATTTCTTTTACACACAGACTGATACAAAAAACAAACTCTTCTTTCCACAGAAGATTTCGACCAAGCAATAATTCAAAACGTAGATTTGGGCTCAACTACAATAAAATTTTCTGGGGCAGGAAGATGAATTGACCACAAATACAGGCAATTCATTTCCGGTATTCGCGAGTTCTAAGTATTTTCTGGATAAACCCCTCTGTAGGAAAGGACCTGTTCGGCAGTCGGGTTCGAGTTTTCCTTACGGGAGGGCGACGCCCGCAGGTCTCTGCGAGGGCCGAGAGAAAAGGCGCCTCCGATTGGCGGAAGCATAAATCAAGCGCGGGATTTTCGGAGAAGTGGCGCATCGCTCATGCACGCGCGTGCCTTTTAGTTAAGCGCCTCCCGGGGGACGTAACTCAGCGCGCGATTCGACACATTACGAGCGCGGCTGGGCGCCGTAAACGTCGAGGGCTTCGGCAGCGGAATTCCTGCACGCCCGGCCACCTCCACCTCCGGCGCCGCCGCCAGGGCCCCCTGTTGTTCGCTGGCATGCCTGCCTGTCTCCCCGCCACCGTTCGCGCGCCTCCATCAAAGCTTTTCGCTTGCCTTTGAACGAAAGCTTCATTTTAGTTATTTGATACAAAAGACTGGCAAGTAACAAAAAATGAGTTTACCCTCCGCAGCACATCAGTTCCTGCTTGCTTGTGCTTACAAGGCACTGTCGCCCATGTACTACTATCAATTATAGGCAGGCAAGTCGAGCACAGAGCCTTAGTGAATAGTTTGTGGAAAATATTAAACCTGTACACCTGAATGAAAATTAACAAAATGTTCAATCTGATTTTCTTCTGAAACACTGTTTCCTTTTTAATGACCATACATGTTAGACTTACGGCACACCGCTAAGAATAGTATACAAACCCAGTATCAGATGATGTTCTAGTCACATTTTTATGTCAATTGTCATTCAAAACGTCAATAAAGGCCTA